AGTAAAGTATTTTTCTTACTTAAATTCTCCTGGTGGTCGCATATTATTTATTTTATATATATATATATATATATATATATATATATATATATATATATATATGTATATGTATATGTATATGTATATGTATATGTATATGTACGTGTGTCTGTGTCTGTGTCTGTGTCTGTGTATGTAGGTCTTTGGTTATTCGGGTTTTCTCCCGCGTAAAATTGGAGGTGTCTTGGCGACGTTTCGACGAAGTCCCATTCATCATCTTTAGGCTGGTGTTTTCAGCTTGGTGCTTCGAGGAGCAAGCACGAAGCTGAAAACAGCAATTGCTCCTCGAAGCACGAAGCTGAAAACACCAGCCTGAAGATGACGAATGGGACTTCGTCGAAACGTCGCCAAGACACTTCCAATTTTATGCAGGAGAAAACCCGAATAACCAAAGACCTGTGTGTGTGTGTGTGTGTGTGTGTGTATGCACACATACATACATACATACATACATACATACATACATATATAACAGTTAATAGAAATGCCTTAAATAAGGTTAACTAACGTTTGCGCCTGGCTCCTAGACCGCGGTTAACAGTTAATAGTTAACCTTATTTAAGGCATTTCTGTTAACTGGTTATAACCCTGACGATGTCGGAAGCTCCTGGTGATCGTGAGATAGGTAGGTAGGTAGGTAGGTAGGTAGGTCGGTCGGTCTTTGGTTGTTCGGGTTTTCTCCCACGTAAAATTGGAAGTGTCTTGGCGACGTTTCGACGAAGTCCCATTCGTCTTCTTCAGGCTGGTGTTTTCAGCTTCGTGCTTCAAGCAGCAATGTGTGGTCTTAGCTGTTTCTTCCTTTTAACTGCCAATGGGGGTATGAACTGATTGGGTGGGAGCTTGGCTGTGTTCTGATTGGGTGGAGGTGTGTTCTGATTGGTTAGGGGCTTGGCTGTGCTCTGATTGGCTGGGGGGTTGGCTGTGCTCTGATTGGCTGGGGGTTCATACCCCCACTGGCAGTTAAAAGGAAGAAACAGCTAAGACCACACATTGCTGCTCGAAGCACGAAGCTGAAAACACCAGCCTGAAGATGACGAATGGGACTTCGTCGAAACGTCGCCAAGACACTTCCAATTTTACGCGGGAGAAAACCCGAACAACCAAAGACCTACATACAAACACCCGCGAAAACCTCAGAAAATAGATAGATAGATAGAGAGATAGAGATAGGTATATCAAAGGTAAAAAAGGATTTTTGTGGCTCCCAGTGTTTTGTTTTTGGTGGGAAATGGGGTTGCCTATCCCTCATCTATACTATTAACTTAAGCTCTCCCCTCACTGTACCATCTCTGTGCAGAATCCATATGTCAGAGATGCAGAGAAAGGCATTCTTGGTGGCTGCTCAGCCAGTTACGAACGTTCTTCCCTTGGAGACTTGCTAAAGTTCATGGAAGCATTGTAAGATGTTTTCATTTGGTCTGGCTTCTAGTGACTGGGGTTAAGCCATTAATAGGGTTATTAAAACTTACATTAAAACAACCTGAATGTAAAAGTAATATTGCTGTGCCTTGATTTTTAAAATATTTTTTACAAATGTCATACTGGGTAAAACTCTCACTTTTCATTTTTTTTGTCTCTTAAAATTTGATTTGGTGCAGAAATACAATGCTTCAGATGTCTACAAAAAGATTTCATTGCAGTCCTAAATTTAATATGCTTGTTATGAAATTAGGTAAAATGTTTTCTAGGGGAAAAAAGCATATAGAATTTATGATGTTAGGCAATAGAAATAATCAGACATTAAAGCTGTACCTTGGAAAACAAGGTTTGCCTCCTTTTATTTAATTATAAATTTATTGGTCACTTGGCAATTTTCTTTTGAACAGTTTAGCAAAATAAAAAACACTGCACTAAAAATGTAATACTAACAACTATGGAAAACAATAACTATATTTATTTCAGGCCTGGAATACTAGAATGGCCCTTGCCTGTCATTCAAATAATGATCATCTGGGTGCCTTTAAGAATTCTGCCTCCTTAGTCACCACCCACCACAAGTCATTCAGTGGAGAGTCCTCCAGTAATGATGTTTTACAGTATATCTCCATTGTTTTATATCTGAAATTTTAAAAAAGTTTAAATGCATTCCTTTTATTTTACAATAACTTGGAAAAAAATTTGGTTGACGGACATCTTTCCTAAAAGACAGTTTGGACGCAAAATATCAATTATATTTGTACAAATAAATTACATCATTTGCAGAATCTAATTATGATGGGTTTGCTTTTTCTGATCCATTCCCCACAGTTTAATAAAATTATCAGATAAGTATTGGAGTTGCTAGGTTAAAATTGTGAATCACATTTCTCTCTCTTCCCCAAATTTTTGCAGCCATTACTACAAAAGGCTGTTATTAACATACAAATAAGATTATTTATTATTAGGTAAAATAATAACCAGCTGTGAGAAAACAGCAATAAATGCAAGTTCGGGATTATCAGATGAATGTGTGTGTTTGTGTTTGTCCTTACTTATTCTGGCACATAGTAATCTATGGATTTGATTTTTTAAAAACTTATAATACAGGTAGTCCTTGACTTACGACCACAATTGAGCCCAAAATTTCTGTTTTAAGTGAAATGTTTGTTAAGTGAGTTTTGCCCCATTTTACAACCATTCTTGCCACAATTGTTAAGTGAATCATTGCAGTTGATAAGTTAGTAACCCAGTTGTTAAGTGAATCTGGCTTTCCCATTGACTTTGCTTGTCAAAAGGTTGCAAATGGTTATCACATGCCTTGGGACACAGTAAGGGCCATAAATATGAACCAGTTGCCAAACATCTGAATTTGGTCATGGGGATGCTGTAAAGTATTGTGAAAAACAGTTAAGTCACTTTTTTCAATTCCATTTTAACTTTGAATGGTCACTAAATGAACTGTTGTAAGTCAAGGACTGCCTGTACAATCCTACATATCTGCTCACTAATTTCAGTGAAACTTTTTACTCTACCAGGTAAATGTGTAGGAATGCAACCTTACGCTTCTATTTTTTCCTGTTTTTAAATAATAAAAATTATGCATAGGCCAATGAAATTTTATAAAATGTGTAGTGTGTTAAAATCAGAAATGTAGGTAATATATTTATTTAATACATCCTTAAATATGAAACACTTTTCTATACTAAATTTCATTCTGATTTACATATTTTGCCAGCAGCTATTGAAATAATTTGCTATAAGGTTTACATTTGTAGATTATTGAAATAAGAATAACTTTTTTGGTCAAAATAATTATATTGGACATATGTGTGCATGTGTATACATGTAAGAATTAGTATTCCATTGTCTCTCTGAAAGTGTTGAGAACATTTTATGAATTTTAATATTTAAATTTTTACATTTACAAATAGTATGAGTATCTTTCTCAATTTTAAATTCAGGTTTTCATTAGGTAATTAATATATTTCCTGAACAAATATGCATACTCCAGTTGCTAAAATCTGTTAAAATGTTTGTTTGAAATGAAATAATGGAATTTAGGAATACGTACTAAAATCTTTGGTCATATATCTGCAGGAACTGTAGAATTAGATTTGCTTTGATTTGCCTTATATTTACTTGAAACTATTAAAAAAATCTGTAATTACATGCTTGTTAAAGAAAGTGAGACAGTTGTTTTATAGGAAAACATTCATAGGATCCAACTATTTAGTATCCAGAACTTTCAGAAGCAATTAGTAGGAAAATAGCATTTCTACGAGAGGCAATGAAAAATTGTCTTGGAAAGTTATAATTTGATAGTTAAAATGTAAAGATGAAGATTGTAAGTCAGATAAGAGGAAAAATTCACTCTCATAAGTGAATTGTACTATAGTACAAGGAAGTCTTAATAAATCAGCAAGGAAGTCCACTGTTAGTAATACAGGTAATCCTTGACTTAACAGCTAATTGTTCAGTGACTGTTTGATATTATCATGATGCTGAAAAAAATGGACTTAACAACCTGTGCACAAGGCAATAATGCAAAATGGCCAAAAAGGCAGAGATGGGGAGTTGGGGTGGAGGGAGCTGAAGACAGTGTTTTTATTTATTTATTTTATTTATTTATCAAATGTATTGGCCACCCATTTTACCACAGGGTAACTCTGGGCGGCTTACAGTACAATCCTTTATTGTACTGAGGCTCAGGCAAGGCTAAGAGGGACCAAGTCAAGAACGGGTGGGTGTTCACTTAACTACTTGCAAATCTGAGTGAATGACCACAAAAGGAAAAGCCAGGATTGCCCTCAGAAGTCAGTGCAGTCATGTGACATTTTGCTTTATGACTGTACCAGTTTACAACAGAAATTCCTTTTCCAATTGTCACAATACGAGGACTACCTGCACATTTTCATGTGGCTTATTGTGCCATTTATATTTTTGTCTGTAGAAATTAGATGTTCCCTGTGTCTTTGTGCCTCTTCTTTAAAAGAAAAGTAGCTTTTAATAGCTCTTTGTAATTGGCTGAAATTAAAAGATATTTAGATATTAATGTGCTCTCTGTATATTTTAACTCCATTTTAAGTGAAGTAACTTTAAACAAGATACTGTATAATTGAAATGTTAAAATCATTTTTTTAAAGCATTGATTTTATCTGGTTTGCAAACTTTCATATTGCTCTTTTTCCATTAACTGTCTTTTTGTTCATTGCCATCAAGTTTTAAAATGTGGCTCCACTTGATTATGCTCACATATCCCTTATGGAAATACTTCAATAGCTGCCACTTAATTATCAAATTATTACTATGAATATAGAAACATGCTTCACATCTGCCAAATCAAAAGAATAGCAACAATATAATTTGCTTTCATTTTAAAAAAATATTGCAGAAATATCTCAAATGATTTATTTATTATATATTAAAGTTGTCAATATAACTCCTTGTTAGCATATTTTACAGTGGAATTTAATTCAAACCCCATTGCTTGTTGTAAATGTGAGTGTGAGAAGGACGATTCTAATATGTGTTTGTGTTTCTAGGTACGAGCACACCAGTTAGTTTTACCACCTTGTGATGTAGTGATCAAAGCTGTAGCTGACTATGTCCGTAATATTCAAGACACCTCTGATTTGGATGCCATAGCTAAAGATGTTTTTCACCATTCACAGGTAAAAAAAAAAGAATAAAAGTTCACGGGTATGAGCTTGAAGAATATGTTGTGGTACTTGTGAATTGCATTACATGAATATGGCTTTTATTTTTACTTGTGTTTTATTTTTCTCTTTGTGAGAATTGCTACAGATGATCAAAATTTAGAAAAAAAATTGCTTTATTACTTGTTCATAAAAGAAACCCTTAGCTTGGCTGATTGCCTTTAAACAATTGCAAAAAGTTTTTAACTGTATAGTAATGCTGGTAGGACTGATGATAGTTCATTTGTGTATTTAATTTTAATAAATGTTAATTTTAACATTCTTTTAGTCTAGAACAGATGACAAAGTTAAACGATTTAAGAGAGCAGTTGCATATTATTCAGCAACTAATAAACCTATGCCATTTCATCCACCACATTATCTAGGTAAGTTCTTATACTCATGTAAGTTATTGAAGGATTTTGGTTAAATATGAACTGTTTCTTCAACCAGGCAACTTGAAGATGTATTAGAACCCCGATTTCTAGTGATCAGTCTAAAATTGAGAAATATTATCTTATGACATGTAAAATAATACAGAAGGTATAAGTTATACCACACTAATCCTGTCAGCTAGTTGACCTTTACTAGTATTTTAAATGTAGTAATAGTGTGAAATGCAGTATATATTTGTATTTGAAGTGTATGTATGAAAAAGCAGCCATATTGGCCTCACTGGTCAGTGTAGTACCTCAACACAAAGCAAAGGAACGCAAACAATTTTATGTGGATTCAGAATGAACTCTGTTATTAATCAAGACAGAACATTTTTTATTCCATATAACCATACAAAAATCTAAAGCTAGAGCTTTTACTATTAATTGCATTAGTAGAATACGTTTTTTTTAAAAAAAAATAGAAACACAAAACTAGAACAAATGAGTAAATGTCAGTTTGCATTGGTTGATGATCTTACTTCAGTTAACAATTCAATTTGTAGTCACTGAAACTTATTCCCCAAAGCTAGTAGATATTTTGACATTTGTCTTCCTACTTCACAAAGTCTGGTTATTCTGAGATTTATTTATTTAGCATATTCTGAGTTAAGTCACCATGACAAAGGATGCAATGTTGGTTTGTTGGATGAATTGTCTTCTGTATCTCTTAAATCAGGGGTCCCCAATCTGTGGGCCACTGCCCACTAGTGGACTATGTGGGATTGCAACCAGGCCGCGGTAATGGCCGATGAGCATGTGCACATGTGCATCCTCACTTGCTTCAGCAGTGGGCAAGCACGTGCAGTCCATTCGTGTGAGCGACAGATGCACGTGCACGCCGCTCACACATGGAGCTGCATGCACGCTTGCCAACCGCTTGTGCAGAACCATCCCCTCTTCCCCCCCCTCCCACCAGTCTGCAAAGCCAGAAACGTTGGGGAACTCTGTCTTGAACTGAATACTGGAAGAACAATCTGTTTATTTTCTTTGGAGTGAGACCTATTTTTTCAGCTTTAGTGGATTAGTTAAAAACAAAAACATCAGTAGCTATAAAAAAAACCTGCTTGATCATGGTATGTAAAAGGAGGTCGTCTTCATGTGCTTTATTCTTTGTCATTTTAAATCTTGATTTCTGACCACCATAAGAGAATGTTATTCAACTCAAGAAAGTTATGAATTGTTTACTGCTATAATAAACTCCCTAGATTTTATGTTTCTATTTCTGCGTCTAGTTTTAAAAAAAACAGAATCAGATGCAATACCTGTACACTTCTTTTCTACTGGGGAAAAAATGCAAACAGTGGAGGCTAAAATGGTGGGACTAGATCTATTACGTAAAGAGAAAAGGAGAGTGTTTTGGAAAAAACATGAGATTGCTAGAAAACTGCCAGTCAGCATACAAAATCTCTCCTGAAAGAGGCAGTAATGAAACAGAAATTGACAAAAGCTCTGAAATTGAAGTAGAAAAAAAGAAATATCACTTTAATAAATCAGATCAGAATTAAAAACATAAAATAAATGCCTAACATCATGACTTTGTTCTTTTGTTTTCATATTAAATAATCATCCAGATTTACGTTGAACCATACTTCATGTAAGAGAAAAACATATTTTTGTTTCCCCCCCAATCCCCCAAACAGGCAGACCAAATCAATTGGGAATGCCGGGTATAGTGCCACCATATGTGTCTCCTCAGATGCTTAACATTCCACAATCCGCCCTGCAAGCAAAGCAAGCGGCAAGTACATTCCCCCGTCCCCTTTCTGCTATATAATCCTTCTGCTGTTGGAACTCATGATGCATGTATATGCGTGTGGGCAATATGCACAACTTTAAGAAAACATGGCCTAATTTATATTTTCTTTTAGGCCCAGCCTATCTCTAGTCATGGTAACGCCCAGGGTCAGAGCCCATATCCTTATAGTCTGTCAGAACCAGCCATCTCATTGGACACAAGTGGAAAAAATATTTCTGAGCAGAATTACAGCAACATTCCTCATGAAGGAAAACATACTCCATTATATGAACGATCCTCTCCAATAAACCCAGCTCAGAGTGGGAGCCCCAATCATGTTGATTCAACATACTTTCCTGCCTCTTCTACGTCATCTTCCTCAGATAACGATGAAGGGAACGGAGGTGCTGTGAAGTAAGTAACAACAAAAGACAGTAGGATTGGCTAAAAAACCTGCTCTTGGCCTCACATTTGTTAAGATGGATCCAGATCTTGCCAAATAACTCTTTTGTGGAAAACTTCCAAGCTGTCTCCTCAGCAGACCTTCAGCATGAAAAATATTAAAGAGTAGAAGAGGTATCTTGGGGGAATAGTAGGAGCTGAAGAACTTGATGGAAATAGAATGAGAATTGCTTTATTAGGTGATCTTTGACATGTGCCCTTTGGCTTGAAAGAGACTTTTGACGATCATGCTGAGATCGGTAAGACAGAATAAAGTGTGCAAGATCACACTGTGCCCATCTATTTCTGTGAGATCCCTCTGTTATAGATTAATCTATATTTATGCAACAATTTTGCATATGGAGATCTCTTTTAATTAAGAAAAGGAGGATAATTTTTAAAAGTGGCATTTTCCTAGTTGCCTCAGCAAAATATTTTATCCTGGTCCTATTACTGAAAAATTATATAGTCTTTGTGAAATATTTTATATATTTTAAAAGAATATTTTGCTCTTAACTGGTTGAGGTGTCAAAAGCTTTAAACTGTGACAAAAACAATATTAAACTAAAGCCTTCAGAAGATTGGAAGCAAATTTCAGAGTAATGGTGACATACCATAGTTTGCTCTGTACTAATCAAAATAAGTTAATCAGTCAATTAGAACAGAGCTGGAAGGGATGTTGGAGGTCCTCTAGTCCAACCCTCCTGCTCAAGCAGGAAACCCTATCATTTCAGACAGGTGGCTGTCCAGTCTTTTCTTAAAAGCCTCCAGTGATGAAGCACTTCCAATTTCTAGACGTAAGCTGTTCCACCGGTTAATTTGTTGTCACTGTTAGGAAGTTTCTCCTTAATTCCCAGGTACTTCTCTCCTTGATTAGTTTCCATGCATTGTTTCTGGCTTTTACTAATAAAGTTAGTAACAAATAACATTCATTAATTGCCACAGGTGCATGTGTTGGGCATACATAGGTTCAGCAAAGGGAGAAAATCCTTTCTAGTGCTTTTTTGATTATTTGCATCCATAATTGTGACTTCTTAAACTATTTTTGTCTTTTCTTTCTTTAATTCTTTATAGATATTTATAATCCATCCCTCTCTATATTCTCAGAGTACTTTACTGAAAATTAATATGATACAAACAAATCATGCAAATATGTAAAAGGAGCCATTCTAAAAGAGCAATATTTAAATCAATAAAAAAAAATTAAAAGGACTTTTCTGGCATTGTCATGGCATCAGCTTGGGTGCGAAATACCAAGAATGGTCCTGAAAATACTATTTCACCTGCTGACTTAAACTTGAGTATAGGTAATCCTTGATTTACAGCCACAATTAGAATAGGAATTTGTGTCGCTAGGCAATGTGATCATAATATGTATCCTCACATGAACACATTGCTTAGTGACAGCAATTCTTGCAGTCCTAATTGCTGTTGTAACTCCAGACATACAGATCACTAAGCAACAAACAGAAGTCCAGGTAAGGGGAGCAGGAGCACTGTAGGGGTGAGGGAAGCTAGCTGGGATACTGCAGTACAGTCAAGCTCTGGGAGGCTGGAGAAAGAAGATGTTGAATCCTTGCCTGTGATCCAGCGCAGGAAGACTGGAAAAAGACTGTGCTGCTGCTCATGGGTTTCTTGGCACTCTGCAACTCTGAAACTCTTAAGAAGAGTCCCTGAACTACAGCATAATATGATGCCTAGCCCCAGCCAGATCCAGCATGTGGCCAAAGGGGCTTCTTGTCACTCTGGGAAGTGTGCCGCTTCCAGTCCAGACCAAACTGCCTTTACCACCTTGCACTCCAAGGGCCCTACTGTCCTCCACTGTCCCAACTGATCTTTGCCATTTCTTGCTTTCACTGCTGATGAGGTGTGCCTGGCTTGACCCTTTATGAAGCAGCTTTTGGCCACATAAGGCCATCTTTCCTGGTCTTGCAAGGAAACTACTGTGCGTGACCTTGGGAAGAAAGCCTTCTGCGAAGGGCTAGGCCAGGCATGCCTCATTAGCAGCTGCACAGCAAGAAGGCAGCAAAGGACAGCTAGGGTTGTAGGGCTTTGAAGTGCAGGTATAGATGGGAAGTAGGCAGGTGGGGATAGTTAAATAGGCTCACTGATAAGCAACCAATTTGATCCCATAACCGTAAGGTTGCTGCAACAGCCATAACTTTGGAGACTAGTCATAAGTCCTAGTTCAACACCATCATAACTTTGAAGAATCATCAAATGAATGGTCATAGATCAAAGACTATCTGTCAAAAGAGAATTCCAGGGCTTTTCAGTATGGAGAGAGAGAGTGAGGGAGAGAGAGAAGACAGACAGACAGTCCTTTTAGATACCCGTAATCAAGCCATCACAGTCCTTTCAAAGATAAGAAGACATTACTTTGATTTTATTCTGAAACAGATTGGAGTCAGCACAACACAAAAGGAATGTGTGTTTTGCCTGGATACTTTTTATAGAATCTTGCATTATAATCCTGACAATCAATATTTTGTCTGTGTGGGCTTTTTTTCTCTCTCTCTTCAGTCATGTTGGTGGAAACAAATTGAACTGGGAAAAAATAGGAACTCAGTCAGAAAATCAAGTATGTGGGGATCCAGGAGACCAAACAAAGGTAACTATAGTTTTTGTTAATGAGACTTGAGCTGCAATATTAAATTTGTGTATATATTTTAGTGATTATTTGGTTGATAGTAGAGGACCTGGAATCACCAAGAAGATGCATTCATCATTTTTTGTGGATGGCATAGTGAAGCAATGTTTTTGCTTCCTTCTGTGCAAGAAAAAATAATCTTCTCTGACTGCTATTTGACTAGTAGTGCAGAGCAGAAGAAAAGTAATCTCAAGTGTACACAAATGCTTAGAAGTCTGGGCGAGTTGTAACCTAAACTGCCAATAAAGTAGTTTTATTAATGTGATAGTTTAACTTCTATGCTTACTGGTGTAGAACTTAAACATTGAAATCTGTTGTGTTTACTTCTGAGTAAAAATATGAATTATGTTGCCTGAAGTAAAGAAGAATGAGGTTGCATCTAAGTAATATACTTTGCTGTGCATAATAATAAATGTAATTTTAGCTGAGGTGAAGAATTGACTTGAGATTCTGATACATATTTATTCTTTACCGCAAATAACTGCAGTATGTAACCAGGTTTATTTTCCTTTTCCTGCTGAGAATAATGTTTATTGTGGCATGGGCACAAATGGAAAAACAAAGTACAATAAGTTCATTTAGAAACTAATAAACCAGTTTTCTTTAAAATTTGGCTTATCTAAGAATACTAGTTTATGAAATTGAGTCTTGTTAGGTGTCCCAGTTTAGCTGTTCCTGCTAAAGAACATGATTAATACAAGTTTTTAAAATCAGTTTTTTACTGATAAGAAAATCACTTAGCCAAGATATCTTCTAAAAACAAAAAAAGAAAGGCTTAGTCTATTATCCAAAAAGGTTTTGGGAACTTGACCATGATTCACATATAGAAATACTTAGTATAGGATGCATCATCACCACCCCTGGCAATTACACAGTCCTAAATCAGAGAGGAGATATCCTGCTTTAGTTTTTCTTTTTTCTCATACCTTTCTTCCCCCTCAAGTGTACTTTGTAATGCTTAGAATTGATACCTTTAAATCTAGTGTTGAAAAACATGCAGTGGTTTCCAGTTAGTTTCTATGCATAATGCAAAAACATGCATAAATGCAAAAAAACCCAAAAACCCTGACCTCACCTTACACAGTGGATCGTCAACGCTTTTAGCGTTTGGTCTAACATCAAGATCTCCCCCATTGGCAGTGGAGCTGCCATCCCTACTTCTCTAATCCATAAATTGGTTCAGTCAGTAGAAAATGGATCACTTCTTAAAAATTAAAATAAAGAATGTAGAATAAAAGCAATAGCACTTATATCAATGGCAATTCAATTTTTATCAAAATATTAATTTGATAAAATATTAAAATGTTAAAAGTTTGGGACCTTTATTTCAGATGCAGGATTCAAAACAAGCCATTTATTTAAAAAAAATCAAAAGGAATTCAAACTGTGTTTGAACTGTGTTTAAGATATATCATTCATGAATATTATAGAATTATAGAAGAATGAAGTCATTATCAAGACACAGGCTCTTCATTGTCAGGTTCACCTCTTCTATACTATAAAATTGAATTGGATTGTTGGTTCTATTTTCTGTAAATGTGTTGTGAATGTGATTAAATATACATACAGCCTTCTGGCTCTTAAGATTTCACAGTATTTTGTCATTCTCATTGTAAAACTGTTTCCATGGTTCAAAAATGACTTTATTGTATATTGTAGGTGGAAGGTTCCTCTACTGTTTCTTCAGGGAATCAGGCAGCTGAAGTTAAAGGGAACCAATCCAGTAGTTCACAAATCCCATGTCTGTTGTCAATGCCCACCAGGAACCATATGGATATTACCACTCCTCCATTACCTCCTGTAGCACCTGAAGTATTAAGAGTAGCAGAACACAGACACAAAAAAGGGTTAATGTATCCCTACATATTTCATGTCCTAACCAAGGTAAGATTTTCAGGCAAGATAAGAATTCCAAAGGGATTACTGTTATCTCTTGCTTTTAGTCTATATGTGGGAGAAAATTTGATTTAGTAAAATGAACAATATTTTTTGTTTACAGTTATTCACTTTACGTTGTACTTTTTAAAAGAACTTGGGCTTCCTTTGACAGTGTACTTTACGAGATCAATCCTACTATACTTCCAGCACCATGCCATTTGTCTTGATGGATGAATAGCAAAATATCTTTAAGTAGTGACATTCCAAATTCTGAACAATGTACGAATGATTAAATAGGAGAACTACTTATTTCTCATTCTATTTTTCTCCAATCTTGTGGAATCATTGAGGATGATTCTTCTCACAATTTGACTCAAGGATGTGTATTGGGCAGCTCTAATGCAGGGAAAATAGTGAAGAAAGCTGATCAGATGTGAGTGAGATCTGACCTCCACATTTGCAATATCAAGTATCAAGGGAAAAGCATTCAATATCAAATATTGAATGATTTTCAATTGGAAAATCTTTGCTTATATTTCCATGGATGAATTAGTTATGTGAACCTGAAAAAGTGGATTTCCCGTTTTGTCAATAATTCTTTTTGGAGTTGGAGAACCTTTACACTCATATATTTTGGTAATATATGTATTTCTAGTTGATATGCTCCATGTTTTGTATGAACATTGGCTCTTTACACAGTTCATTATTACCCAAATGCATTTGAAATGCAGAGCTTCCTTTAGGTGAAATTTAATTATTCCCTAATTGCTGACATTTTGATTTGATTCTTTGAATAATATATAGAATGTGTTGGTACAAAACAAATTTTATGTTAGGTTGTTTTTAAGTCCTGATTTTTCACCCAGGACAAATCTCAAAGCTGCCTCTTCAGTTTATCTAAAATGTGATAGTCTCTGGAATCGCATTCCTGTTCATTGAGATCTACATTTTAATATACTTGAAAACAGCAGCTTCATAGAATTAGATTTTAGCAACATATCTATATTATAAACATTTATGTACAAACAAGACATAAAATTAGATAAACTGAATTGGAAATTAAAAGGACAGTGGTAAATGAGGTTGGGGCATTAAAGCTATTTGTAAATACTAAAGAAACAAGGAACCAAATTTTGAACCTTGGGTTGTTCATAAAACAAAATATGTATTAAGGTTTTAAGTGCAATTTGTGTGTTGTACAATTATTTACTGAAAGTTAAGTACATCTTTCAGCAGGAAAGATACCATGCCATAAATAAGATCCCTAAAAGCTGCTCATCATTTTGTTCATCTACAGGGTGAGATTAAAATTGCAGTTTCTATTGAAGATGAAGCAAACAAAGACCTGCCTCCTGCTGCTCTTCTTTATAGGCCAGTTCGTCAGTATGTTTATGGAGTCCTGTTTAGTTTGGCAGAAAACAGAAAAAAGACAGAGAGGCTGGCTTTTAGAAAGAACAGATTTCCTCCTGAATGTATGTATTTGTCTTTTATTGTAATGGTGAATTCACTTGAAACATCACTAATCTGTTGTGTGCATCTGTTATGATGTAAAATAAATTGTGATTTCAATTTGCAAATATAAAAAAAACTATAATTTGCCAACATAGTTCATTTTCCAGTTGCTCAATATTTCTGTATCTATAGTACAAGAATTTGGGGATATGAAGCAATGTTTAAATAACAGATAGCACATCAAGGTTTGGAAGGTTAAAATCAACATTTTGAATCAGGCTCTGGACAAACTAGAAGCACTACAATATTTTTTTAATTAATAAGATACAGTAAACAACTCACACCCAATAAACTGGGCCCTGTATCCTGGTTTGGTTGCAATTGCTGAAAATTCTTCAGGAGTATGGACAATTTTGCATAGGCTGTCTATAGGCAGGAAGAGATAGCATTTAAAATTATGTATTTTTCTAAATGCTTCAAATTGGAGTAATGAAAGTTACATTTCAGTAGTATCAAGTAGGCCCGCCATATTAGTCTATACATTCTTGCCATATCGCAAAAATTAGTTCGAAACATCTGAAGAGACATACATATAACTTAAATTGTTGTGGGAGAGCATAAAACTACTTTTTCTTCAAATAGTTTATATCGTGCTTATAAAATACATGATTCATTTCCTTTTCATGAGCTGCCAGAACCAGGGTGGCATACAAGTTTAATAGTTACATTATTTCCAATTAGTTTTTAGTCAATGATGCAAGGGAAGTTGCTGATATTTTCAAAAGAATGCATTATCATGTTTTAGGTACAATTCTCTTTATTTTCATTTAAGCTACATTTGAACAAGTCAACATATTTCAGTCTCTTAAGCTCCAAATGTAGCTAAAATAATATATAAATTTTGCATAGCCTGAAATAATCTTTTTTTATATGGCATTTTAAAAAAAATATTACTTGACAGCTACATTCTAGTCTTATGGTGAATATAACTTGAATTTGTACACAAATATCAGTTATCAGTGGTTATCACCTTTTTAATGCCGCGACCCCAACCGGTCATAAATTGAGGACTACTCAACCGGTCGTAAATCGAGGACTTCTCAACTGGTGCAGCACCGTTTGCAGAACGGGACTTTTGGCGGGCTCAGCAGGGCAGAGACAGCCTGGACAATTCCTATTGGCTTTTGAAAGCCAATAGAATTAGACTCTATTCAAGAGAGTCTATTCTATTGGCTTTCAAAAGCCAATAGAATAAAAGGGAGTAGCACAGCTAAGGAAAAGGGGAAAAAAATGGCGGACTGCGTTGTTTGGCGACCCCCTTGAAATGGTCGTTCGACCCCAAATGGGGTCCCGACCCACAGGTTGAGAACCACTGAGTTATATCATTTACAAAGTTGCATCATACTTGGCTATTAAGAAATATACATAATTTCATTTCTGTATTTGATAAATTCAGTGACTTAGGAATCATAAAACAGTCCAATCTAGAGAATTGCTTTGCTTTGTTGAATGTCTTGTATGATGCTACATTCCAATTTATAATTTTAAACCAGTATTATTTTCACTTTTAACTGGAATGAAGATCTTTGATTGTATAAAGTGTGCATAGTAACGATTTGATATAATTTACTAGATTTGTCGTTATTTGTTCCTAAAATAAATGTAATTGTTTTGATAAAATTTCTGATAATATTCCAGTTATATACCATCACCATGTTAAATAGGAACAAACCACTTCATTGTGTAATGGGAGAGTGATAGAATTAAGCTACTCTTTGGGAAAAGATAAAGAGTTATTAATGGCAAGAATGGGGGTTAACACAAAGGTCTATCCATCTAGATTTATTTTAAGCACATCTGGCAAAATCATATTTTTAACTAGACTTTTGCCACTTTTCAAATGAGAATTTTGGGGTTTTTGTTTGTTTGTTCTAATTTCTAGTTGTGAGACCAGGGTTCAGTCAGGGTAAAGAAGCAGATGAAGGGGTACCAAGAGAATCACTATCAAAAGAAGCAGTAAATAGGTTGCCAAAATATTTTATCCAGGACTCAGAAGAGATTAAACCATTAAAGCACAGGAGCTATGTTTATCTGAAGAGAGAGAAAAAAGATGCCAGAATAGATGATCACTCTTATTTATATTCATTTGCTCACTAGTTTGCTCTTCCTCTGTCTTGGACATTCTCTGTAACATTTTTTTAGTAAAAGAAAAAAAAATCATGAGAAAGTAGATTATAGAACTTGGCATTTCTATAAGCTGCAGTTACCATAGCTTTGGCTTGAACACAATCCTGATCAAATCAAGCTTTGAACTTATCAGAGCAATAATGGTTGGAGTTTAATTAGATTTTAAATGATCCTGAACTAAAACAGTAATTTTTTGAAGGGTGACAAAAATTTCATGAATATCACTGGTTGTGCCAGTAATCACTCTTCTGAAAAGAAGAAATAGACAGAAAGGCTATGCATCTTCATTTCATTAAACTATGCTCCTTTCCAGAAGAATACAATAAATGCAGGTGAAAAAGCACCTTTGGGACAACCATGACTTGGATGAATGAGAATCCCCTTAGATGCTAGAATCTAAATGTTTGAATGTGATTTTAGTTGGAGCTAATACATAGCATTCTCAGGAGTAAGGACTCCAAGTGAGTAGTGGTGAGTCAGAAACTGATTTAATCAGTTTATGGGATGACTTTGCCATAAAGACAGAGAAGGAAAAGAAGTAGATGAATACAACAAGTGGAGTTCAGGTTCAGTGTAAGAAAGCAAATCTTTTGAGGTTGATTCGTAGTAATAAGTCTAAATGTTATAAAAGCAAATAAAATATACTGACAAAAGGTATTGGCAAAACAGTATTTGTGCACAAACTATTTTGTTTCCTTTTTTAAAAAAAATTCTGCAGTCTTACCGGTGATAATTAAGGAATGGGCTGCTTACAAAGGAAAGTCTCCCCAGACTCCCGAGTTAGTAGAAGCTCTTGCATTTAGGGAATGGACATGCCCCAATTTGAAGAAGCTTTGGTTGGGGAAAGCAGTAGAGGACAAGAATCGACGAATGAGGGCATTCCTGGCCTGTATGAGGTCAGACACACCAGCAATGCTAAATCCAACTAATGTGCCCACTCACCTAATGGTGCTCTGTTGTGTATTAAGGTGAGTACATTATTGATTAATGTTAACGTATGGTAAAACATCCCCTTGATAGTGCTGTATATATGTAATTGGGTAAGAATGTTATTGTTTTATTGATAGAACTTTTATGTAACTTAGAGCATAAATAATTCATAGAACTGACATTTTTCTCTAGACTAAACAACAAAGCAAACTAAGACTCAAAAGTTTGTTATTTGGTTTACTTTACAAAACTGTTGAGAGAATTAAATGGAAAGACCTGTTGGGGTGGAGAAGACAACAAAGCATCATTTCTTTTTTTAGGGACAATGGAATAAATAGATTAGTTAAAAGAGAATAATTTTAGGGATGTAATCCGTTCAAATATGGGGGTATAGGTTGAAAATAGGTCAAGTGAATAAAATAGAGGACAGCCAGGAAGATTTCATTCTAGCATTGAAAATTATGTGCTTACTTTAGTTCCAGACTGTTCTAAGCCTCTTCTGCCAATATTTTAGTTAGATTAATTTAAATATTCACTGGCTTTTTTAAATTATCACAGGAAGAGTACGTAGGATCCAGAATGTAAAAAAACAAAAATTCTAAACCTTTATTAAATACATCCTATAGAAGTACTTTCTATCAAAATAACATACAGTATTTTCCGGCATATAAGACGACCCCCCGACTTCGGCGCCGAGTTGCATGCCTAGAAAATCATCTTATATGCTGGAAACTACTGTTATTTCTGGCGTATAAGGCGACTCGGCGTATAAGACAACCCCCAACTTCGGCGCCGATTTCAACACTTTTGAAAGTTGTCTTATACGCTGGAAATTACAGTATTAAGTTTCAGTTTTGTAAAATCATGAGTCGAATTCAGGACACCTCTCACAAAAATCGCAGGCCTTCTTTCCATATCATAGAAAGAAAGAAAAGAAGCTGTCCATTATTCCTCCCTGGTGCCACTTCATTGTTCTAGATCAGGCATGTCACACTGCCCAATGGGGTGGGTCCGGATGCGTCACAACTAAACCGGACCCACCCCATTGCCGGCAATGGGGGGAAAGTTGCAATACGTCACGCGTCGCGAGTTTAACATGCCTGTTCTAGATTATGCTATGGGCTCTGGAGCAGTTTTTGACTTTTCTGCCTCTTGCTCCATAGGCTAAATTTTCCACTTCAATAGTTTGGGTTCAGTTTGGATATAATTATAGTGCTTTAATAAATGCTATACCTTATTTAAACATTATCGTATACAAACACCATAAGTATTACAACTTTTCAGAAATGATTTACCCAGGGTACTTTGTCTTTGTAGATATATGGTGCAGTGGCATGGAGTTCGGATACTTCGTCGCCAAGAACTTGATGCCTTCTTGGCTCAAGCTTTATCTCCAAAACTCTATGAACCTGACCAACTGCAGGAACTAAAGGTGACTTCTGAAGTTGGCCTTTATGGAGCATTTAATTCTTATTAATTCAAGCGCTTTGCAAAACAGTATCATTTTCTTTTGTCAGTATTTTCTATTTTCATCCACACGTTCATCAAAATAGTATGTGGACAGGAAGAGTTTCTGCCTTCAACACCAGCAGAGTAATAACTTGCAGATAATAAAATCTGCTTCAATTTTCAAAGGAAATGTGCTGGTTTTTTGCTTTTCTTTACCTGATTACTGTATTCATTTTTGTTTTATATCGATGGCTTTCAGACATCTAACCTTTAAATCATCACTTTCATTTTATTTTATCTTTTCCTGAAGAATACCTGCATGTCTCCACAAGATTCCACCTCCACCTATGTACTTCTAAATAAATAATATCGGAGAAATTGTTACTTAGGTATATTGATCATGATTACCAGTAGATTATACAGTAATGGGATGGGTAGAATTAAATCCTATTATTAGTTTTCATTTTCATTTGAATTTTTCCATTTAAAGTAATTACATTAATATTATTAAAATGATAATTTACTACCACATTTTAAAATTCATTCATGGCCTTGTTCAAATAGATTAAGCATCCATTTTCAGTAAAATACTAATAGATGGATGCATGGTAGATACTGAGAGCTCTTGTTGTATTTAAGAACTGTTGTGTAATTAGCAGATCACCTAAGTATTAATGATATCTCCAAGACATTTTTCAAAATTCATAGCAAAACACTATTTATCCATTTTTTATTTAGATGTATTCATGTGGCTTGCTTTAAAGTCCCCAAATACTTTGGGATGAAAATTAAATAACAAGTTAATTTTTAATTTGATCCCCTACTTTGTCAATAACCAGATACAATTCCTTAATGGAAATGACATTCATAATTAAAATGTTTAAATAAATATGTGATAGGCTAAAGCATCTGTACAGGGTTATGTATACACCTTTTATTTAAAAAAATCTAAATTTCAAGTAAACGTTTGAAGTACAAGTATTTGGCACTTTCAGCTGAAAATGTCTGCATTTCCTCCACTGAAATAGGGCAGCAGAGAGGAGAGAATTCCACCCTGGACTTCATCCAGTTTTTGGTGGGTTTATTTAAATCGGTATTTTTCAGTCAGTTTCTTAAAAGTTATTTGAATTGGCCCCTTTTATCAAGGAACCCAAATACAGTTATACCCATGTTGTAGAAACCATTGATATCATTTTCCATTCCCAAGGTTATTTTGGGAAAGTCTCATATAAGGCATAATTAATGTATAATCTCAGAAGATTCTCAAATTTAGAAAATAGTAACATTCAAATCATTTAGCAGAAAGAGTTTGTGATTTTTTTTTTTTGTTAAACTAAACTTTTTGATGAAGATTTTGTCCCATTTATATAGGTAATTTTTGTTTTTGCTTGTCTTGCTTCTTTCTGTAGAACTTCCCTTTCCTCCCCTTCCCCACTTTTCTGTCTTTTTCTCAGCAACCGCTCACTGCTTTCCTGCTAACAACTTGTACTTCCTTAGGGAGGCCTACCTCACACCATGGCTCTATCGTCTGATATAGGCTAGCGTTGAAGACAGGATGCTGGGCTAAATTGATCATTGGCCAGACCCAGTAAGGCAGTATTTGTATTCTGAATGTAAATTACCCCAGTTAAATCAGTATGAGCTTAGAATTACAGGTGAGTGACTTGGAAAAGAATCATACTGGATGACAGTAAATCTCAAATTTTGTCCAACAATAAAAGGCTGAATTCATCTTGTTGACGTACTTTCATTTTCAAAATTCAAGCATGTAGAATAATTATGTATACACAGTCTATTTTATTAGCAAGTTAGGTTTGACAGTAAAATACATTTTTCGGTCAATAGTAATGCATGCTATATAATATTTATGGCATGCTATGCACATCATATAGGACTTCATTTTCATAATGCTACTGTATTTATTGCAGTTATGACACTGTCACCATAAGTTTGTTTATATAGGATACATTGGAAGTACCTTGAAAATCTGATCTAACTTCTCTTGTTTGGTAAACCCATCCCTGACATACATTAATCTACAGTTAAGAATTTGAATGTTCTGGCCTAATCAGTTGTTCCCTTCAAATGTATTAGACTTCAACTACTTATATTTTCTAGATAGTTTGATCAGTGCCTATGCTGGTTAGGATGTGTGGATGTTGAAGTCTAAAACTTTTTGATAGCATCTAGTTACTGTCCAGTTTCAAAACATAGGCTGATATTGATGGATTGTTGTACCAGTGTAAATGGAATTAACATTTGACAGGTGAAATCCAAATATACACCTACGACAATGGAAGAGTCTTTGGGCTGTTGGAAACCTTTGCTAATGGAAGGTGAAAGGAACTGATTGTTACCATCTCCTGCTTCCCAAAGCTACTTCCCATTCTGTACAAATCCTTCAATGTGTGTTTCCAGAGCTACAGCAAGGCAAAGAACAGGCAAAATATTTCCTTCTCTCTTTCCAAGAGGAAAACTTGATAATACAGTTGTTGATTCAATTCTGTAAACTATATCATAGATAGTTATGGTACTCCACGCTACCAATATTTATGGATATCTTCCTATCTTTAATTTTTAAAGGATTCCTTTCATTTTAAAGAAATGACAGCTCCAGCATTAGCTTCATTTTTCTTAGGATCATGTCTCTGTCCTCCGTGCAATCGACACAGACATTCTTAGAAAACAAAAATGTCAGGTAAATGTAGCTCTATGCTAAATTTAGATGTCTATCTACTTGCTACCCAAAGCTACAGAGATTTTGCAGACCATACTATTTGACAAAATATTTTTGTTTTGTTTGTGATTAGGTAAACCCTCCTATATAGTAGCAGCCATTTTATAATTAGGCAAATCTTCACCCTTGGCACCCATTTTATAAATAAGAAAGCCTCTACTCATGGCAGCCAGTTTTTGAGAATACATGCAGCAAAGTTTCAAGAATCAAACATTCGCTGAACAACCTGAAAAACTTGCTTACCCCTGCAATAGACTATTTGAATTCTTTCACATATAAAATAGTTCTAAGCTATTTTTCTCTTATCTAGAAAATCCAGTCATATCTTGGGCTTCCTGAGGAGTCTGAACAGTGGGTCATCCATCAGTTGTACTAAGTGACAGCTCCTCTGGTTTTTAACTGAGGAAAGGAGAGAAATAATTGGGTTTGGCTAGAACGCTACCCCAATTTTCTTTTATAATAACAGTCTTGCTCCGTAGGCTTAATAAAAAATGTGAAGACATGCATTATGTTTATTAATGTTGCTAAATATTGTACTTAAGAGACAAAAAAGGATATGCCTAAATCTTTACTTCAGATATTTGCTATTCTGTTAGTAGGGATAGTGATTTGCATCATTAATTTCCATAATGTGTCTGTACAAGCTTTTTCTACAATGAAATCAATTTATTTTTTTCTTGCCTACTAAAGCATTCTTGAATTTTTCCTTGCCTTTGGGATATTTTCTTCTTCAGCTTTATCACAGTAGCAGTGCTATAGCTAAACTAATCACACAACTGTTCAGGATTGTCAGTAATTGGGACAAATTTTATTCTTTTGAAAGAGGCAATAGACATGCTATATTCCAATAACTAAAGCAAACATGGGTGACTTTTCAGTATCTATAGACAGCAGGTATTGGGAAGAATCAATGCTGCAGAGAACAACATTGCAGATATGAACGGAACTTGTGGGGAGTTTTGAATTCTTAATTTTGTCTATTTTATGCAATTTAGGCTTGTCTTTTAGTTTTCATGTTTTGAGGCATTAATTTTCAGCTGTGATGGTAAAAGTGGGTTTCGGTGGGTACAAAAAGAGAGTTTGGAAGCCTCGTGCAGTCCCGGTACTGCATGCAGTCTGTCTATCTTTAAATAACGTAGGGCTCCTTCTCTGGTAGGGGAGGGACAAGCATCTCTTCTTAAAGTCAGTCTTATGCAGGATTGGCAGAAGAGAGAGACAGACATCTTAATAACATGGATTGCTATTTTAGATGTGAAAATGTCTCTTTTGTAATGGGCTAGTGATGGAAGAAAGTTAGAGGCACTGTTAAGTCAGGTATGATTCCACAGACACATCCGTGTATTTCTTTTGGCAATATTGAAATGCCATAATGTCTTCCATAATAGTTTTTCCAGTATATCTTATAGCTCTGGTGTAGTTTTCCTACTGATTCTCTATCTAGGTACTAACCAATATGATTCTGCTTAACTTTGGGTGAGGGGTGGAATTGAGCCTTAGTTGGCTAAATATTGTGAGTATTAATACCCAATTTCCAAATTCATGTGCACTCACAGATTTCTGTGGTATTTCTCACTAATATACAGAGAATAGCTAAGCAAACTGTATGATTTATGGGCTGTTTCACAGAGTTTTAAGCAAAACTAACTGCTTAAGTGCAGTGACTGCAAAAATTCATGCCTGTATCTTTTTAAAGGTATTATTTAAATCTACTTTAACACTTTGTCTATAGTTTAGTTTAATTCTTTAATCTTCAATCCTTGTATAGACTTTAACCAATAAAGTTCTACACTTTTGTTTTTAAGATTGAAAACCTAGATCCTCGAGGAATTCAGCTCTCAGCATTGTTCATGAGTGGTGTTGACATGGCATTGTTTGCCAATGATGCTTGTGGGCAGCCAATTCCATGGGAGCATTGTTGTCCATGGATGTACTTTGATGGGAAGTTGTTCCAGACCAAGCTCATCAAAGCAAGCCGGGAGAAAGCTCCCCTCATTGACCTCTGTGATGGTCAGGTAATGTTGGTCCTGTGATGGGTGTGATGTCTAATTGAATGTGTATGTGTATGGACAAATAGGTAGTCAGTAGAAGATCAGTGTGATTGTTTTTGGTAATGAGCTCAAATTCATTTGTAGGCAGAGGATTTTAGCCCAAGGGCAAATGTATAATTAAACATATAATGAAATGTATTATTTATCTAATAGGTTGTATCGAGCTAAAAGCTTGCTTGAATATAGATTGCTATAAGTAGGTCTGTATGCAAGTAAAAGAGGTTAATCCTTGATTTTTCATATCCTTAAAATGGTGATTTGAGTTTATTTTTTAAAATTTACTTCCATTTAAATGACCACCCCTCTCAAATTCATGAATCTGTGTGGCTAACAATTGTTAATTTGTAGCAATTTGGTATATGTAGGAGCATATATGTAGGTGATCTGTGAAACATACAAATTTTGTATTTGCTTACTTTTTACCACATAAGTGATCCAGATTCTGCTCTTTCTTTTCTGTTAACTTAGATGCAGTGTTTCTTTTTTTAAAAAAAAAGTTTTCAAACAGATAGAGATGGTATGTTTCACATCCATGAGACCCTTTCTTTCTTTGACATTCCTGTATAACTAAAATTCAAATAATCCAAATTTTGTGTATACTATTTTGAAATATTTTTAAAGCTTGCAAATCAGTCTGGGTATTCTGACAAACTTTATAAACTTTATAAATAACGAACAGAGGATATATTGTTTTAAATATTTTATTTAAGAAAATAAAACATTATATGAGAAATAATTTTATGTTACAGGGAGATAATTCATTGATGTTTTGATTGTCTGTCCCCTAATGTTTAATGTTTGTAAATATCATCAGTTACCTGGCTAGCTGCTTTTAATAATGTCATTTAGAAATGTGTGGATATACTTGATTTGTATTCATAATATAACTATGTTGTGCCATGTTGTTTGTTGTAGGCTGAACAAGCTGCCAAGGTAGAAAAGATGCGCCAGAGCATCCTTGAAGGTTTAAATTTCTCCAGGCAAAACCACCCACTCCCTTTCCCACCGCCACCTGCCATGCCTTTCTATCCAGCTTCTGTTTATCCTCGCCACTTTGGGCCAATTCCACCTCAGGGCAGAGGCCGAGGCTTCACTGGTAAGACTGCTTCTCTGCTAGGACCTTTGTGTAGGAAGTATGTATTGGATAAGATTTTGGACTATACTAGGGAGACCCAGGTTCACATCTCAGACCAATCTACCTCATAGTTTTGATGTGAAAATGGAGGAAGAAATTCTACGTTTATCACCTACAGCTCCTAGTGGAATAGTGGGATATCAGTCAAGCAGATCAGTAAAGATTAAGACAATTGAATTGGCAAAAATAGTTAATCAGTTGAAATTTACCCTATAGCTGTTTATAGAAAAAGAGATGTAAGTCTAGATAATAGCCAAATTTAAATATGTAATTTAATTACACATTTAATTCTTAACGATATCAGTAAAAATTCAACTCCTGGGTACATTCATATTACAAAATGTCTAGTGATGCCACAAAAGGGGGCCGGCTATTGAAGGAAGCCTGGTTCTCGGAAAAGGATTCGATTAATCGCCACATAGACCTTTGCTCGGCACAACAGGCTTTGAGAGTATGGAGCATGAACCGTCACCCCATTCATCGGAGGGAATCCAACCGAGAGCTGTGTAGCTGAGGAAATGGCGCCGCGTCCAATCCTCCATATAATCGAACCAACGGAGCCTTAACCAACTCTCCACAATCTGCAGACACTCTTCTGGTGCCCGGCCAGCAGCTGATGAGCTCCGATCAACAGCTGATGAATCCGATACCGAAGGATAAAGACCTGTGGAGTATCAAGAGAGTTACGAGGGGTGAAAAGAAGAGGAAAGGTGCAGTGGGAGACCTACGGAGCTCCCCATTACACCCTGGAAGAACCCCACCTCCAGAATGGATGAGCGATGCACAGGGTATCGGAACGAGATCTAGGAGGTCGGGTGACGAGCCCGCAGAGGCGGAGGTTGGAAACAACGGCAGGGAAGAGCTGCCCGCATGTGGATTCAATGGGCATGCGATGACAACCCGGTTGCGTCAAAAAGGAAAAAGAAATAGTCCACCAACAGACTTAATGCGGAAGCACAAGATCATGAATAAAGAACACCCGTACTTACAGCAGAGGGATCCTTCTGTGAGAAACAAACACAGGAGATCTATTTGACCGGAGATTGTGATTATCTACAGCAGATTGGATGGCAGGATGCCATCGATATGACAATGATAGAGAACGTTAAAAACGGTGATAAGGGAAGTGATATTAGGTTGAATGATATGTAAACAGGGATTGCTCACGTAAAAAGGGATAGGAGAGTGGAAGACATAGAACGAAGAGAGACACCCGAGTTACAGCTCCAGGGGGTGGGGAGAATCGGCTGGAGTCCGAATGGAGTATATGGTGGGATTAAGAGGATTGAATGGCCCGCACCCCAGGACCCCTGGCGGGAAGAACTGCACAAGAGAGTGAGGGGAGCATAGAAACAGCTGTCACCCAAAAAGGGGGGGAAAGGATCCCACTTAGTCCAAGAATCAGTAATGGAGGAGCAAATAGGAGTGTACGAAGTAGGAACAGGAAAGGGCTGGGTGCTGGTGTTAGGGATACATTTAGAGTGCAATCTGATCAGCTGGGATCGATGACGCAGTCCAGAAGCCGGATGCAGGCGCTTGGTGATCTTATATAAGTTTCCCATTGACTGCCTTTAACCCTGACGAGGTTGGAAGTTTCCGATGAAACCTTGGTTTTATTAAATATTTTTCTTTATTGGATTCTCCTGGTGATCGTTATTAACTCATTTTGTAACATTTAATTCTATATATAATTGCATAATGATAAAAAGCTAAAAAGGAAGTAAAAGGACCTGAACATATCTCCAGCAATCAACAACCAGGTAAGCAGGGATTAATACCAGACAAACAATCAAGCAGTAAAAAGCAGCCCAACCAAGGAACTACTGAGGAGAAAATAGCATTCCCCCATCATCTCTCTGGTCATCTCTTTCATGGATTATTGCAAGCATTCTACATGGAGCTGCCTTTGAAAAGAATCTGGAAGCTTCAATTAGTGCAAAATGTGGCTACACAGGCAATCTTGGTTGCCCAAAGAATGATGCATGTAACGTCTCTATTGTGCAAACTGTGTTGGGTGCTGGTCTCTATCTGGTCCAATTCAAGGGGTTGGTTATGACCTATAAAGCCCTATATGGCATGGGGCCAGGTTACCCTTGGAACCATTTTTGTGCCATTACATCAGCCCTCCCGATCCTGTCAGACAAGGAAGGTATGTTGCAGTTCCCATCAGCCAGGTAGTCCTCGACATATGACTGTAATAAAGTCTTTCTATTACAGTCATACATCACAATGATCATAAAGCAACTGCTGTTGTCATTAAGCAAACACAGCAGTTGTTAAGCAAACAAATAGTTTGTTATGGATGCTATAAATGTGGCCGTGTTGCTAACTGCCCAAAATTCAGTTACATGGCTGTAGAGGGGGACCCGACCATCCGAACTTTGAATCTGGGTTGTAAGTCCCCTTTTTGGCCATATCTTTGAATGGTCACTAAGTTGAGGACTGCCTGTACAGTTCAAAGCACATTATGAAACAGATCTTTTGCTTCTCATAGAACTGCAAAAGATTGGATTTTTTTTTTTTAATTCATAGTAAAAAAAAAAAAAAAACCTTGGACCTAGAATTTTACCCATTGGTGTCCTGAATTTTCATTAGTTTGGGAATTAATCCTTACAGATGGTCTTTCATTTTCATAGGATTCTATGGATTTGGGGCCCCTTATGGGGAAACGGTTGCAGCAGGCGCATATCGGACCTTCCGAGTGACTGCCACAGGAGGACACTCCGGAGCTTTCTCTGGCAGCGATGGCAACAGGACTAGCAAGTTTCAGGGCGGTAATACCACCAATCCCCTTTTCTTATTGCTCACAGCAGCAGTGCAGTAACTGGACCTTTCCAACATTCATTGTATGAATTTGTTTTCCTAAAATAAAGCAAATACTTTAAAGAAAGAGTTCTCCCACTTTCTTCAGTGTATGTGAAAAGGAAGGAATAAAAAATTCCTACATTTTAATTACTTTTCACAGATTGCTATGTGGTTTCTAAATCAAAGATCCATTTAATGTCACTTAAAGTTAAGGCTGTTCTCAAACTGCTGATGATTATAGCCATGCAGTTTTCTTGGTAGAGTGGAAGTGATTTGCCACCATCTTTTGCTGAGGTGCTTTGAAAATTCCTTGGTAATTTCTCATTCATGAACTAACTAGCCTAACCTTGCTTAGCTTTTGAAATCAAGTTGAGTAGATGCTGCATTTGCTATTTATTGCTTAGTAACCTAATGTACAGGTAGTGTGTTATTACCAGATTATAAAATACAAAAAAGAATGAAATTCTCTTGACTTTATCAGCCTTGCAGTTATTAGTAACATTACATTTACATTATTTCTGATTCTATCTACTGTTAACCTTTTTGCTGTTAGCTCAATTAGTGATGTATAGCTAATGTTCCTTAGATCATTGGAAATACTTGTTTGAAGCTAAAGTAGCAAATTGTAGTAATAACACTCAAATTTAAAATTAGATACATTTTGAAAGAAAAGCTTTCTGAAGGTTTTAGAATGCATTTATAGCTTGTTTCAGTGTTTTTAATATTAGTTAATTCAGCTTTCCTTTTTGGTAAATATTAAACATTTGA